CACCGGTAGTTCCCCTTCCGGTTTTAAAAGGCCACCAAGACTTCCCAAGTGTGGCCTCCGGGGTATAGTAATAAACACTTTACCCATGCTGACGGCTCCAGCATGGGGAGGTCACCTGTATCCGCACACAAAGACTATGTGCCTTAAGATCCCTTACATTGAAAAGTTTATACTGCGACAACATCAGTTACTGACAGATTTGAAAATATATCCGACGCATTAGGAAGCTATTTCAAAAGGCAAAACTTCTGAAAGTACTTACTTCTATTACAACTTCTACCTCCATATCCGAGCGGACAGTTGCATAACCTGTAACACAGTAAATCAACTTTTAGGCTCAGAATTTCTGAAGCTCTCTAGGTTTGCGAACTGCTTTTATCACGTCTTAAAATTAAGTATCGTTGGTATTCTAAGCATTCAAAGACTTTCTGTCCATTATAGTAAATATTGTCAACTCCCTTTATTTCGGACACCCTCCAACGAATTACTGTCCTTAATCGCGAGAGATCGTCATTTGAGTCCCGAGAAGAAATTTCTTTACAAATATATCACTATTTATATTTAGATGACTATAGTACCAACCCTAACGCAGAAAATGTTGGACAGACTAGCCGAACTTATCAATACCAGAGACACCGGAGGGAATTAATAGCTACACCTCATTTAACAAGCTGCGGGTTGACTGTAGTGGAGTGCATTTTTCTTATGTTTGGGAAAATAAAAAATAAATAAATAAATAAGTAAGTAACCTGTCAGATGACGATAATTCAACTCCGCCATTTGCACATGTGTTACTCTTCAAAGGATCGGCCAGTGTAAACTCACACTTTTGTCCAGTATATCCAGGAGCACAGGAACAGAAAAAGCCCGTTTTTCCAACCGGGATGCAAGTGGCATTATTCAAACATGGTTTTAATTCACAAGGCAAAAGACATTCTGTGCATTGTTTGATACCTCGCATGTCAAGATTGGACTGGAGCAGGTTTACTCCCTACCATCTACTGATAGTTCGGATATACAACCAAAGAGACCGGAGCTAACGCCAACTTTACTAGTGTGGAATGTCGTGAAGTTTTTCACTCCGCCTATGAACAAGTCTAACAAAAGATTTAATCCACGTGAACAACACGGGGAGGAGCCTTTCACTGGGGGATCGTCATCCAGAACCAGCAAGCTGTCTCTCAGTTGTCTTTCTATTATTACAGTGTGCCAGAATCCTACGGAAATGTTTCTGGCGCTGCGTAAAATACCAGTACCACTTCCCATATTGAACCTGAACTCAACTCGCCCTCCGTTAATGGCAACGGAAATGAAGTCACCGCGACCAGGGAATATCGTCTGACCATTGTACAGTAGAAGCATATTGCCTGATTTAAGTGCGAGGAATCTGATGGAGAACTTTAGTTGCAGAACTGCACCTTCGATTCCTGGTAACGACATGTATGAGTCGCCCTCAAACATGGGAGTGTCTATTGGCCTTCCTACGGAGATGAATACCGTAATAAGTTTCCTTTTTAGTACACCAAATGACATGAAAAACCGAAAAAACCACCAGAAGTCCAAGAGACGTTACTTTAACTAAGTACTCTTCCCTTGATTTCTATCATACACCTCACCCTGGGGCTGCTCAAGTGGTCAAGTGTTTTATAGCAACATTCTTCGGTCTGGTATTTCAAGTAGAAGCGACTATAACCAGACCTTCAGGTAATTGGGCGCACTGCTTATTCAAACCTGAATAAAAAAACTGGAGGAGTAAATACGGGGCAAAGATGGTAAATGTCATTGTCCAGTGAACCAAACGATAAATTACGGTCTTTCGCCCATACCAACTGACGCAAACCAGTTAAAAAGTATTTAATGCATCCTATTCAAACGGGAAAAAAATTGGAATTATACCAAAGCTCATGTATTGACATCAGATCGTAAAGGACTCAGGGGCCTTTAGTCAACAACAAACCTTCCTCACACCTCTCCCCAGAGTAACCAGCAGGACAGATTAATCTAAAACCATCATTGCCGATATTTTTACAACACCCCTCATTGCAAACGCCAGGTGAACACTTGTTACCAGCGTCATCACAGGTCCTTCCCGAGTAACCAGGCCTGCAAGTACAAATAAATCCCCAGTCTCTAGCGACCCCTTTTTGCACGTGCCGCCGTTCTTGCAAGGCCTTGTTTGACAGACTTCACAATCATCCAAACCCACGCTTTTAATAGGATCACCTGAAATTTGTTTAAAGAGGTATTCAAAGGGTTATGTCACGCTATTTTCTATTTTTTAAAAAGCTATAAAGTGTCTGCGTATCAATTGAATTCCAAAAATAGTTTTCCATTTTTTTTTTCACAAATCATGTAACAAATCATCATGGTTAGTGTTCCCTGATGGAATTTCTTTGAAATCTTCTTCATACTTTTACAGAAGCATTTTGTGTATGGGTAAAGACCCTAAGTCATGACATCAGCACAGAGTCGACATAAAACAATAATATCCTTGTGACAAATCCACTTAAGTATTGTGTTTTGGCAAGAGAAGGAAGAAGATAAAATCTAATTATAAAATTAAGTAATTAAGCTACACCGAAAGGCTACAAAAATAGGTTCCTCGTGAAACAGGCCTTATTCTCTTTCAAGTTCGTCAATACTGCCCTTGACAAGCGCATACACTTTCAATAAGAGCTTGCTCCTTTACAAGTCGAAGAAACAGAAAGAAACATGCTCATGTTCTATAGACATGACTCAATCTACTAATTAACAATTATTCCACGAGGGCGCGTTGGATATGAGATGATAGATAGCCAACGAGGCGTGTAGCGCCGAGTTGGCTATAATCATCTCATATCCAACAAGCGCGAGTGGAATAATTGTTTTATTAAAAACGCCCACAAAATCTCGTTGAATCTCCCCGACTAGAACAGACCGGAAAAGACAAGGGACTTCCGCTATTCACATGTCACACGTCTATCAAAACTGTCAACGCGCGAACGGACCCGCCTGGACTGCGTGAATGAAAAATCAAAACATTGTAGCGATGAACATTAGTTTTTTAAAAACTCATCGGGATTCTAGGATTTTACACAGCAGAACAGCTAAAAAAACCTGGCAGATAATGTGAAGGAAAATAATTTTTAAGTGACAGCCGTCGAAATTACTGTGAATTTGGACTTTCGGTGCAGTTATAAAAGTAAGAACAACGGAGAAAAACTATTACCTCGGTCGCTTGTTATGAAGTTGTTTGAAGTCACAAGCTGGTTTTGCTGAACGAGAAAAGAAGCTATACTACCGCCTCGATTGCTCTAGTGAGTGGCTGCATAGCCTGTATTTGTAGCTGGTTATTTGTGATTTATATTCTTGATGTCGGATAAACAAGCCGCAGTTATCTATCGGCGAGTGACTCGATCGGCGAATGGCTTCGCAATCAGCTACGAAAGAAGACAAGTGTGGTTTCTTCATGGTCAAGGTACTTTAGTTCCATGTGTTTTCATGTGTTTTTCGACAAACTTTCAAACAAGCTCTTGTGGCTTTTTTGTGTGTTTTTGTCTTTTTGCATTTCTAGTATTCTAAGAAATGAATTAAAACGATTTGCTTCTGGCGGCGTTCTATCCTTCGCGAAAAAAAATCTTATCTAGCTTCCAATTTTAAACTGACGCGTACACCGACTATATATGGAGAGCATGGTATAATAGCTCATATACCATAACGGCTAAGCCAATCAAAATGCTAGAATTGCATTATCCAATGATTCAGTTTTTAATAATGTCAATTAGACCATGGTGAATCATTTCCACTTTTGGAACGCGTTTGTAAAGGTTATGCATAAGAAATTAGCGTATAGACAGTTCAAAGAGTTCAAATAAAAGGGATAGTTTCCAGAACTTTAGTGTTGCGTCGGTAACAGAAAGAAATGGTGGTTTACCTCCAGAACAATTTACCTCCAGAACAGAAATCAAAAGCAGACTTTCAAGATGTGTTCATCAACTCCGCTGGTAAAACCGAATGGAAGAATTTGTATGAATTGTTTTCCCCTTGTCAAGAAAGCTCCCTTACTCTCCCCCTCAGACATTCTGACGTTTCTTCGACTCCTGTACAAAATTCAAATCAGGGGCACCCAATGGATCTGTTCCCCAAAATATCTGTTCTTCAGGCCAAGTTTTTCTGGCTGGGAAATTTGGAGAAATTAATATGTCCTTGGAAGGAAAGTGTTGCTGGGCAATACACAATTCAGGGTGTCAGAGGGGATTTGTTGTATACAATAGCTTGTATATTGTATTTTTTTATCTCTCCTTCCCCCATTGAAGGGGTGAATGTCTCCCTTAGGCCACAACCAATTGCCTATGGACCCCCCTCCCCCCCCCCCCCCCATCGAAGGGCTGAATTTTGCCCTATGACCACACCCAAACTGGGCAGTAATGTCTAGTAATGTCTGGACATACGTCAGGTTGCAGGTTTTAGGTGCACTTTGCTGGCTGGGAACTCTTCCATCAGTCTTACTGGGAGTGAGGAACAGATAAATTTTTCCAAGCAATCTCCCAAAATGCTTAAAATGGCTTCAGAAAGCTTTATTTATGCTTTGTTGTTTTTACGTCTTTTTCTCAAATTCCCCGTTGGGTGCCTCTGTCAAATCTCCTCGAAAACTAGTTTCCAGAAATTTTGAACTTTGAAAACCTTTATCCAACTACCATTCGTTTTGTCCCTACGAAAATTTCTCAAAATAATCAAAGGAGACAATACATGTACCTGTTTTCCTGTTTTTAAGGTCCCTATTTTTGATACCAACTATTTTTGTAATGGAATGTAAAAGAAACAATTATATTCTTACCAAGACTTACAACTTTTCCGTCGATAGCCAAGTAGCTTAAACAGCCAATAAATCCTGACTTGAATCCCGCCAAAGAGCTTATTGATGAGAATTCATGGACTCCTCCCACGTGCAAATCCTGATTCAAATTCAGACCTGTACTACTCCCCTTACAAATTCCTGTTACAGGTGGCTCCCCATCTACGGTGAGATTTCCTTCCTTCCTGGTACGTGATAAGACGACTCTGTGCCACTCATACAGGCTCAATGGTTGCCGGCTTCGAATGATTGCAGGCTCAAAGCCAAGGTTGAATCTAAATACGGATAAGTTCTCTTCAATTTTGACCTTGGTTTATATTTAATTTAGTTTGTTTCAGACTCTTTTCTTACGTTACCATACTTCCAAAAAAGGAAAAAAATATCAACCAAGGATAAAACTGGATTATAACATGTGCATCACAGTTAGGTTAAGATCAAGAATGTTTTAAGCCTAAACCGACATGCACAGCCACTACAACGTGGATATAGCCCATTTCGAAAAAAAAACATCGTAATACTCTCTAATGTGCCGGGTCAGCTTCACCAGGGAGGAGATATTCAAGTATACTTTGTTAGCCTGGGGCAACGGAGCCCAGAGTATATGTGGGAGGCTTGCGCTGAAGCGGAGTCTTTTTTCTTCAATCTGTGCTCACGGAAAATGGCTACACATTTATATTACACTTGTAAAAATTGACAATAGGATTATAAGTCCAACCAACACACAATCTGCAAGTAAACTACCCCATCTTATAATGATGTGTTCGTGCTAAGTATGTTGATACATATGACGTGATGCGGCTCTTGGAATAAGTCACTGGAACAGTCAGAATGCATGATGCAACCCCCAAACCGGAACATAAAGTGTTGTATTAAATGGAAGCTCCGCTTTAAGGCTTGGCTATATGACTGCAGCCAAGATGGAATATGATAGACTTGGTTAGTAATACGATAGTCTGGTTACCTTGCTGTTTCAGGGTTTTACAGTAACAAAATTAATTCAGATCCTATTTTTGCATTCGTTTTCAAATGACTTCGACAAAAGATTTGTGAGTAACCAAAGGCTTTATGGAAAAAATAGCTTGCGAGGGCAGACTCCTGCTAGAGCTAAGCCTCACAGGACTACTGGCGAGGATCAAGAAGGATTCTCTTCGTCCCTGTTTGTGAATACAACCCCATTACCTAAATTCAGCAAATCTGTCTGACATTCCAAATGAAATGAAGTCTCCAACAGAGCCATTTGTTAGCTGATCGTTGAACAGAATCGGCCCATCCGCCATCTCCGGTATGAACACAATTTCAACCGTGAAATTAAGTGGCTCGTCTGTTAATGTCTGTACACTGAGGTAGGACAGAGGTTCCTGTGTCAATCGTGGAACGGTCACTAAGAAGAGATAAAGAAAAGGTAGAGATACAAATGGTTGGTGACCATTACTAAGTTATGGTTAGAGTAAATATCATAGCAAAGGTGTCTTCTTGTCATTGGCGCGAAGTGTGCTTAGCAGAAACTCCCCAAACTAACCCTCATCATCACCGCAAGAACATTCGTAGCTTTTCGCGCTGAAATTGCATCAGGAAAAATGTATAGGAGGAAAGCCACTGTAAAATTTTTGCTCCAAAATTCGTCAAAATCAAGACATGAAACAAGGAGGGAGGTTAAAGTAAAATTACTTCCAAAGAACCGACCCTTTGATACCTTACCTTTAATTTCTAAAATTCCACTTCTATTAGCCGATCCTTCAACATTTTTGGCTTCACAATTGTAACTCCCAGCATCCTTTTGAGTCACATTGGCAATCTTTAGAACTCCTCTTTGCACTGTACTGCTGACTGGAAGCGATCCGTTAACTTTCCGCCATGTTAGGTCTGGTGACGGGGAGCTGCTAGCGATGCAAGTGAATTGCACGGTCTCACCGGTTTTCACACGTGACTTCTGTGGAGTAACCATGACCTTGGGGGTCTCTAAGAGTCAATAGAGTACAGTCTTGCCACTCGAGTTAATAACACAATGTTTAATAGTAACATCGTCATAAAACTGCACAATCTTTGCAGATGGATATTAGTTGTAACCGTAAGGTTGGGGTGGTTGGGTGGTAGTTCCAAAAAATTCAATCGGATAAGGTCATTTTGGTTTACGGCAGTAAGATTTAAAGCAGGCTTATGTTTCCATGCCTTCCTCACTTGGTCTGACATGAGGACACTAAATCGCCAGCTTTCGCCTTTTTATCTTGTCTTATTATCGTGGCTTATCAACTCGGTTGACAAACCAGTGAACCATTCCTTTTCCCCACAAATGTGGATGTCTTTGCAAATGAGGGTCAAATATTTCGAGCGTTTTTTAGCTTTACTTGCATTAGCTTTTATTTCTTTTACAGACCAGTAAACGTGAAAGGTAACAGCAGAAAAGAACAAACAGAAAACACCAACCTTGCACAAAGATGGCTACTTCAGATTGCACAGAGCCAGCACTGTTAGTGACTTTGCACCTATATACACCACCATAGGCAAGCCGCACGCGCGGAAAAATCAGCTGTCCTCCTTTTGAAATGGGTCCCTCTGGAAGCAGACCATCGACGCTGGTCCATTGTATTTCTGGTTGTGGGGTTCCATTCGCGATGCATTCTAGAGTCAAATTCTTTCCTACTGAAACTGTTTTGACGGAGGTTCCACCAGTTATAACCACACTGGGTAGATCTGAAAAGGATATGATTACATGGCTACTCATACGAATGATTTACTGATAGTGACTAGGAGTAATCGGAGCTTAGGAGAGTGCGTTCGCTACGTTTGCTAGGCGTACAGGTAGCAGTTGAGGGGAAAGGGTGGATGGTTCTTGCGATAGATAACTATGATTATGGTAGTTTTGAACGCAAGGGTTGCGTACAGCGAAACCTCCATTTAAACTGTGTATCATAATGAAAAGGTTTTGAAGGCTAGTGATCAGCGTGCTATCGTATGGTTCGTCTCATGTGCTTGTTATTTGAGGAGACACTGGCCAGAGTGCTTCGGGCGTGTAAAAAGAACTTTTTGTTTTACTGGCGCAATAGATGTTTTACTGGGCGTTTGAAGGCCGATCAGCGCTTAACCCGGGTTTCTTTTTCTTTTGTTAAAAAACATTTCTTTGGATAATTTTCTCAGTTATTTTTAAGAGCGTCCAATCATCGACTTGTTGGCAAAATGAAGCCGGGTCGCGAGTTCGATTCTCGCCCGGGGCATGAAAATGTCTTTTGTTCCAAGTTGAAAATGTTCACTGGAAGTGTATGTGTGCTGATCACTAATGTATCATTAAAATTAATAAAAATAAAAATAAAGTTAATTTACGCAACCACGAGTTCTTGAGAAAAAAACAAAATGGCGGGTGAAAGGTAAGTGACGACGACTGATTTTATTTTTCTTTCTATGATCCGAGTTGAGACACTCGTGAAAGACACTAACGAGTGAGAGCGGCACCCCCTTATCTCAAGATCTGGATGACCGCCCCTCCCCCCCCCCTTATCTGAAGGTCTGGATCCGCCACTGCGCTGCTTCTTACGATAACAGCTGTTTAATATTTGTTGTTCTTGCTTGCACCAGTTGTTTTTAGATTGGTTCACCCTGTGAGTAGAGCCCCTTTTTGCCTTATAGAGTGAGGAGGAGAAAAAAGGCTCTGCCTGAATCGCGTAAAGCCTTTGAAGTCGCCGAAACCTAAATTTCTGGACGAGTAAATGTTGATTTTTTGTCAAACCGGTTTTTGAGTGCGAACATCCGTCTATCGGGTGGTCGTGACTGAGCCCGCTGTACTTAGCACACAGACATTAAGCCTGGGTTTGAAGCTGTATCCTAGCATCAAGCTGCTCAACAAAGATTTTGCTCTATTCATGCGGCATGGTTCGTACTCTTTTGAGCTCCTCAAATTTCAGGACTCTCCATGACTTTTTCTATGACCTTAGCTTTAGCTGTCACTTATTTTTAAAGCTTTTGTGTTTTAGGGTATTTCCGACCTTAAACAGTTCAACAGACACAAACTCTGGTGTCCAGCAAAATGAGTGCCGTTTGCGCTGTTCAGTCACTTCGCTCTATCTTACATTAGTATATACAAACTCAGTGATCTTGGTGATTTAAGCAATCTGATTGGTTCGCTATCTCGGACTATTCAACAATATTCACCTCCTAGCGAGTGGATAATGTGTGAGCTCGGTGTTTTTCCCCTTTTTTTAGAGAACAATCTTTTAAAAGTCGACAAAATCCTAGCGCTGACTTTTTTAAAGGCAAGAAAAGACTTGGAAGGATTCAATACGGCGTTTTTCAATTTACTGTAGCTGAGTTTTGTGCTCGATGGATTGTTTACAACTCCCGTGTATTCGCGTAGAAGAAGCCGTTTCGTGAACTCAGCGTTTTCTAAGAAGAAAATTTTGGCTCAAAAATCGAAGTTTATTTATGACAAACAAATTTAAAAGGAAATGTTTGCAGAAATTCTACGTTTCAAGTTAACGGGAAAAAGAATGATACAGGAAGACGACGTCTTACCTCGAGCAACCGAGCCGGCCATTTTTGTCAGCACTTCATGCGAAGAACGACACAACAAGCCCTTTTGGCTATAAACTTGGCGAGTCAACAGAAAAAAACAAAGCTCTACTTTTCTTCTCAGGTAAGGAAACAGTTCAAACTTTTATCGGTTCCATTTAAGCCATTACGCTGTTGTTGGCGAAATGATAAACTTGTGAATTGCCATGTTTGAAAATTCTACAAAGATCTATTTTTAAACTTACGCGTGATTTGATCTGTCAATCAAATTGTACTTTTTAATGGTTTCCTCTCTGATTTTGTTGAGATCACTTCGTGTGTATATACTAAAACAATTATTCTTTTCAATCTCGGTGAATAGTGGCTTTGGGAATATTTACCTCGCCGCTTTCGCGGCTCGGCAAATATTTTGCCACTATTCACCTCGATTTCAAAGAATAATTGTTAATTGTCCTTGATTTGTCATCGGCAGTAACGAGTCTGCCAAACAAAATTTCAATTTTCAAGGACTTTCAAAGGCCGACAATTAAATTCCATGACTTTCCAGGCCTGGAAAATGCAATTCTTAGATTCCACGACTCCGTTCCTGGTTTTCCAATGACCTGTACGAACCCTGATGTAGTCTCACTCAAGTACGGCAAAATCGAGCAAGTGAAAGAAAGGCTCTTCTAGCAAGGTGAGACTAGTTAGGCCCTACTGACTAAAAAAATACAAACGCTATCTGTTTTTTCAGCTTACCTTAGATTTCTTAACGCTCTATCCTGATAGATCTGATTGGAACAGTATTTGACGTAAACCTCAAAGCACTGGGTAGCCTGTTATGGGATACAAATTAATGACGAGAGACAGTTGGCTAAGAACAGCACATGAGTTTTTACAACTGATTTTGAGTGATGAGAGCGAAAAGCTGGGCATCCTTTGTTGCGTTAAAGCAGCTATAATGTGTAAGAAAGACAGATCTGATTGCAGAGCTGAGGAAAGTACATACAGCAAAAACCCGCGACTAGGAACCTCCATTTAGCCTAAACAGGTTCTTACATAAATGGTAATAAGCACAAATTTAGGCTATTTAGGTTCTTATTTTCTGAAGAAAAATATACATTGTAGCTAAGAATATTTGGTGGAATTCAGTTCATTCTTTACGTATTACAAAAATTTATATGCCATTACAATTGGAGTTGGAGTTGGAGTAATTAAGGCACCTATGTCTCCAAAGAGGATCCTCAATGTTGACTTTTCTTATTTGCCCAAGTGTAGAGAATCTTTTTATAGACATTTTTAGAACTGAAATAAGAACCTGTTTCAAATTTTAGGCTAAACAGGTTCTTAAAACAAGGTTCTTAGTCGCGGATTTTAACTGTATTTTAGTCTAACAAAAACGATATAAAAAGCGTTAACTTACGTGTTGTTCAATACGCTCTTCTCACGTATGGTAATATGCCCGTCCAACCTCGTTTTCGAGTGAAATTTCTTTTGAAATTCAAATACGAAAAAGTCGTCCGATTAGCATTTCAAAAGAAGTTTTACTCGAAAACGAGGATGGACGGGCATATTACCATACGTGAGAAGAGCGTATAATGTCACTGATAGATGATATAAGCACAGCTTCCTTTTGGCGTGCACGCAAGGCCTGGAGAAAGCTACAAGATAACAAACAAGTGATCAGCAACAAACATTCTAACCATAAAGTGAAACATTCGTTTAGGTAAATACCTTGGCTTTGATTCATAGAAAAAAACAAGCCCATTTTAAAATGACAACGCCGACAAACAAACAATAAAAAAACACAAACAAAAATAAACAAACAACGAAACGAAAATAAACTGATTAAGAAAATGGCAGCAATTCTTCATATAATCACCCTGGTGATCAAATTGGCCGGTGAAGCTCATAAAAATTAATTTCATATTCACCTCCTTCACAGTCCGAAAGAAATCGCGCCGAAATCACTGTTCTTGTGTGTGAACGGAAGTCCTATCCGGTATGGTTTTCGTGTAGACGCAACAACTATCCGGAAGTGTCGAGAGTGATCACCAATGAGAAAATGCTTTGATCGTTTATCAAATTCTCTCAATTGAATCTTTAAGAAATGTATGGAGATCAGTGTGGAGAATGTTGATATTAGGGCTTAAAGGGTTAAACATAGCCTAAGAATCATCAACCCCTACCTACTTAATAAAACCGTTATTACAGAGAGACCGCATTAACTTACTTCTCACTGACAGACTTGATGGAGTTGATATTAGAAAACAGCACATGTGACAGGCCTCGTTCTAACACACACAGCGAAGAACCTGCGTTTAACTCTTCTGATTTGATAAACTGTGACATCAGAATATTTAGACTTCTGAGGTAACTTGCCTCTGATGTAATCACCTCAAACATTGCCTGCAATTAACACAGTTAAAGCACTCTCCTTACTACTGTGCGACCTTATAGTTCAAATGACAGTTCTCACTTCCACGATTCAGTATCAACGCGTATATCTCAAGACATAGTGACCCTATGTCCTATAGTGACCCTGTCATTGCTTAAATAGGCCATTAACAAGTCGCCCCAAACCTCTCTTTCAAAGCGAGGCTTTTTATTCTCATGCAAATGAAACTCCTTTTCACCCTTAGCCTCGTTTTGAAAGTGAGGTGTGTTGAATTCCGAAATGACCTTTTATACTGAAGTGATTAGCTTATTATTTCTTTTGGTAGATATTTGTTGTCATTAAAAATAGAAGCAAGTATGTTATGACGTTAACCATGTGTTGCATGTCATTGAAAGGCACAGTAAACTAAATTTTCTATTTTAAGTGCTCTGATCGGGAGTCCCACCATTCGTCTTGTACATATACGTACTGCACATGCGTGGCTAAGTAAACTTATAGCTGATGGAACAGTACAGTGGAACCCCGCTATAACGAACCTCGCTATAACGAAGACCCCGTTATAAAGAACAACATTTGAAAGCCCGGCAGATTTACAGTAAAATATGTTGAAACGAACCCCGCTATAACGAACCCCGCTATAACGAACCCCGCTATAACGAAATCCCCGCTATAACGAAAGATTTTGACGGTCCCAACGCACAATTTACCTCGCTATAACGAATATTTTGTCCTGTTGCTCGCTCGCAGTCAGTAACAACGACAGATTTGAGCGTAGAGTAGAATTCACAGCTTGCTTTATTCCGGTTTTCTCAACACGCGACAGAAGATAAAACGCTGTACAGATCAACAGTCAACAAATCCTTTGACAGCAACCTAACAGTCAACGGCTTATTATGTCATAGACATTGGCGTTATACAGTATTTCGACATCAATTAACTTCTGCTCTCTTCTTTGTCTCTTATTAATTCTATTAACTTCTTCACTTTCGAAGGCTTCTTGTGATAAAACAAATAAGTAGCCGGAATTTCTAGTCCAATGCCCTTGTTTCTCCGTTTACCAGTCACTTTCACTGAGATTTGTCCTCCGTGTTTTAAGAACAAGTGAAATACACGTGACAGTGTCAATGGCACATGACCTACGATCTGCTGCATGCCTCCTTGATCTTGAACCCGTTTAACGGCAACAGCATGGGTGTCGTGTGGGTTATCAGGCTCGTGCTGCGTAAAAAAAGGTTACTGCTTCCGAGGCTAATGCCGCAGTACGACTCTTGCGCAACTTCGTTGTCAGCAGAGACAAGGCAGGTGCCCGGGAAAAAGAAATTCTCCGGTACCTTTCAATTATGGAGGACACATTTCTTGCCATTGATGTCGCAGGTCGAAAAAAGCAATCTACATTGAAAGATTTTTTTAAGTAAAACGATGAACGTTTTTTGGGTAGAGACAAATCGAGATGATTACTACAGTAAACGACATCGATGATTTCCCTCGGATGTTACTGTTACTTCTGAATTTTAAAGTTTTAAATTGAAAATGTTCTTGAATTTTATGTCTCGATTGACAACCGTTGTACTTATAGTTTACAATATAAAATGAATAAAAGTAATGATTTCTACGTGTAGTATTGAATTTTTGGTAATTTTAAATTACCCCGCTATAACGAATATTTCTGTTGTTGACCGGATAATTCGTTATAACGGGGTCTTCGCTATAACGAAGACCCCGGTATAACGAACATTTTTTTCGGTACCGTGACACTTCGTTATAGCGGGGTTTCACTGTAGCTGCATCCCACAAGTGTTAGACCTCAGGTCCACTTGAGTGTTTTCTTTACTATAAGACGGACACATCTCTAAGACGGACAACAGACACTGTTGAAACCATCAACGAACACTTGAGAAATGCTTTGTGCAATGAAAAATACCTCAAAACGGAAATGTAGGTGCTCTACAAGACAGTAAATTACAAAGTCTTCAATATTTTGTAGTCTTTCTCCAGTTCGCAAAGTTTATACTGTTACGCTTTTATACCACGAAACCGTGAACACCTGCTTTAAATGAACGTTTGATTCTTAGACAAGAAAATGATTTCATGTATACAATTATATTACTTACCTCTTGTCTTTTGCGTTCCTCTCGTTTTATGTTGTCTAAAATGCCACTTTCTTTGACCTGCAGAAGATGAGCATATCATGAAAGACCTTTGAATCGCCCACTCTACTTAAAGATACCCTTACGTATCCTCTATTCAAAAGATTGTTACGATGTAGATAGATGGATAACGGTTTCCTACTAAGCAAGAGCACTAACTTAAACTCGAAAAAAGTAATTATGTGTACTTCCTACAAAATTAGATAAGTTTAGAGAAAAATGAATTTAAATTTCACTAAAAATTTCAAAATGTGGAAAAATAAAACTGTCAAAACATTACTTAAAATTGATTGCTAAAAAAGGTTATAAAAAGATGAGCAAGATTTTTAAAGTTGAGGGTTACAAAGACATCTAAATCTTGCTTTGTTACAGCCTTTATAAAAGCACTGATTGACGTAAGCTAACTCTTTATCCAAAGTGGAGGTATCAAGTATTGCACTGAATATTTACCATTTATTATCTTGCTGTATTGATCCAAGGTAACATAAACTCTTTCACTCAAAGATTATCGCCACTATTGTTAAAATAAATTTACTTAACATTTCCTTTCAATTTTAAGAGAAAATTATTATATCTATATGATTATCAACAAACCTCAGGTAATTCACACCAAAGCACTCTCATGTTTCTCAGCGTTCCTTTTTCTAGCTGTTCCAAGAAGGCTTCATCATCCGTTAGTGACTTATCACTGCTGTCACTGCCCATGCGCTGTCGACTAATGCTTCGCTGACGCTGCAGTGTGCACCGGGTATAGACCTGGTACAAGGGCTCTGTTAAAACAAGTGAAAGAAAAAGCAAAGGTTATGCAATGGCTACATGTACAAAAAAAGAGACTGTAAGGGACATGTTAACTCAAACTGGGTTGCTCATTTACTTCATGGATGTATTTGCTATTCTGAAACTTGAAATATTGTATAATTTTTGGATCACTACAAGATTCTAAAAAACTCGCCACTTACCCCTATGCCTTGTACATAACCAACCAATCACGGATGTAAAACTCTTGGCCAGTTTATATTCTCACTTAAAATTTGCTGTATTCATTCAAGGAACTTCTCAAAGGTTTTTTCACTCGTTTTTACTTGTTTTTAAAGAACTGAAATGAAACCTTTATGTTGAGTCAGAATAGATAGTACAACGGAGAAAAAAAGCACTCTTTGCTGTATACATTGCATTTCCTCCATCACACAAATGATAAGATTCAGTCACACTTTTTGGCCTTGTTGTTTTTTTTCCAACATAAAACGGAGATAGAAAGAGCTCTGGATGATGTCACCTTAGTCAATTAAATGTTGCATAAATTTAAATCCTGGAAGGCCAGGAAAGACTAATTTGCCAAGAATACTAACCTTCTGCAAAAGTGTCTCTTTCTTCATCTACAAACAAACATAAACACATAACAGTTAAAGTGTCCTTGAAACGATAACTGTAGCCTGCAGAAGAGTAGCTTTTTTATTTTTCAGGTGAGCAAAGGCAAGCTCAAGGTAGGCACAGAGAGAGAGACACACACCCAATGGGCCAATCACGTGTGTGTCGCGCTCATTGCTTACTTTCCACTTGGCTTTGCTCACCTGAAAAAAATGCAAACAAATCGCACCTATAGTGCAAGGTACGAAAACCGTTTTTGTGTACATTGTAGCTATAAATTTTATCATTCAACGTGTAGATCCAAAATATGAGATCTTTTGACGTAAAAGAAATGGTTTTACAAGCCTTTAAATTTGGCCCATGTTGCCGCAAAGCAAGTACATACAGTACTAGTTGTTACCACACTCTAATAATGAATACGTTTTAACACTTTAATCAAACATTATAATGTTCAAAACTCACTTAAGGTTTTGGGTTGGCTAGTGTGTAAACCTTGTGAGTAAACAAACCAGACTCTCTGACACTACATGGTCATCTGTTTTTTTTTTTATCGCTCGCATGACGACGGATGGAATTAGAATTTACTCAGCAATAAGTCATTTAATAAGAAGGCAGCGTGGCCGAGTGGTCAGCGCATTGGACTCGCAATCCGGCGGTCCCAAGTTCAAGTCCCGCTCTGGCGAATTGCTGGAGTTGCTCTTGGTTGTTTTGAGTTCAAATCCTCGCTCACTCTTGTACATGTAAATAGCCAAGTGGCTGCCTCCTGCCAGTTGGGGTTTTTAATCCTGTTATGTTGTATTTGAATTATTTGCTTCTAAGTATCTGAGTGGAGTGCCTGTAAACTAGCTGGATAAGCTAAGTGCACTTTCCACAATAAACAAGCCCTTAAACCATTTCTTAAAAACCTTTTACATAACCATTGTTAACAAAATGTCTTTACCTGAAGAAAATCCCTCTCCATCTGACTTGTGGATAGGCTATGAAATATGAAAGAGTAAAAAATTAAATACCCTGTTATGATAACCATTTTACCGTGGTAAAGAAGGTGAAATTATACTTAAATTCAAAAGATGTTCAATGTAGAACTTAAGGGTAGTCAGATCATGACAGGGACTACAGGAAGGGGTAACATTACAGATGTGTTATTGAGCTGTATGTGCAATGTCAAGACAAGTTTTTTTACGTTTGGACCAAGATGAAGTTAAAGTACTCGCCTCAGTTGTTCAAAGGGTGGATAGCGCTATCAACTGGATAGATCTCTATCCACTGGAAAGTGCAATTAGTTTCCAGTGTAATTACACTGTAATTCCACTTTGTCAGAACAGCTTGAAAATCAGCTTTAGATGCACATCCATGTGAATTTATCAAGAATTTGAAACATTTTGTCTTACTGTAAATTCCCAAAAAACTCTACCTGCCCATGTAACTGGAACCCAATACACTTACAAGAAAATAATTTTCCACACAGCTCACCTCTGCATAAAGATCATCCACCTCATCATAAACATCCCCATAATTGTTTGGGGGTTCAGGAGGAGATATGCTCTCTGGAGGAACACAGTAATCGTGAGAGGAATCTGACGAGAAGGAATGTTCTGATGATGCTGAAAAATAACATAAAAAATAAAAATGTTTTAATAAGGCACACAAACAGCATCACCTGGCTGAAAAGGTTTATCAGTGCTCATCTGGAGTAAAGGTCAGTTTCGATAATACTAAACAGTATATACAGTCAACTTTCTTCTACGATCACAGGTAACCCAGGCTCACTATTTGTGTCACATACAGGTTTCATGTAACATATTCCTATGACCTACATGTGCAAGAGGTAAACACTACTAAGACTGCCTATGTTTGTCTTACAGATAGTTGACTATGTAACAGAGATACTGCTGTGTTGTTTATGCACTGTTCAATCCTTAACTCTTTAAGTCCCAATGGTGACCAACATCAATATTCTCTTAACACTATCCACACATTCTTAAGAGATTAGGTTATGAGAATTAATAATATGATCACCAAAGAGAAAATACCTTGATCTTTTATCAAATTCTCTTAACTCATTCTTTAAGGAAATGTATGGAGACCAGTTTGGAGAATTTGTATTTGGATATTGAGACTTAAAGGGTTAATTGAATGATAATTTCTAGGAAGGATGTTACTGTGAATTACCATCACTGTGGTCATCACCATCCTCTTCATTTTTTCGTCAGTTGGTGGTTCTGTGTAATCATGATCACTGTCAGAAAAGTCAGATTCATCTGTGCTCAGGTCTGTTAATGAATCAACAACAAAACACAAATTAACAGTTACTTAAACCAGTTTGCACTTAACTATTTCAGTCACATTTGCTTACCTATTTTTAACAACTATATTTTGTTTGTATTTTTTTTTACTTTCAGTTGTATCAGTACATTATCTGGTGCAATAAAAATGAAATGTCACCTGGGAGCAATAGGTATCCACTGAAAGCATGAAACAAGCAAGAGGGCTGGATAATAGACAAGTTCTTTTTTCGCGACACTTTTCTGGGATAAGATGAAGTCAAATGTAAAAATGAACAAGGCAAACATTCATCCATATTGACAGAGCAAGCTTGGTTATTAATAAAGGATTTATTATATCACCAAAACAAAATCTTTTCTCAAGGCACAAACTGGGCAGTCTTGAGATGGCAAAACCAGTGTTCTCCCTAAATTTTAGCTCAGCAGGTAAGGGACCATGCATTCATGACCAGTAAGGCAAAAAATATGCACCAGAGTTGCACTTTCCCTGGGGGAAGGGAGTAGTGGAGTGAGGGACATGGCCCTTCCCCAATAGGAAATTTAGGAGCAAAGTTCTCTGAAATGTCATTCCCTAAGACCTACATTGTGTATTTTACACAAATCGGCTGTTGTTCTCTTGAGACAATTAATTTAATTAAAACGTTTGATTGCAATAATTTTACTCTGTCTTTAATGTTCTCGTTCCAAAATGAGTGGCCCATAAAATGAAATGCTGTGTATACTTAAGTACTTTGCCATATATATTTATTCATTTTCTTTGTGAGAATCAGATCAAATCATACAATAATGTACATGTAACTTCCTTTTTTTTAAAATCTACTTTTTTAATTTTAGTAAACCGTCACGCGGTTGCAGGCAGTAAGAAGGGTTGCTTCAAGTGGTAAATTTTACCAGTTACCGCCTGATAAGGGGAGAACACTGAAGATTCAAGCAGCCAATCAGAACACAGGATTTGCTTCACTGATCATACCCTCTTTTTTAATGTTATGGACACAGTCACAAAATAAAAATAATTCTGTTAATTATGCCCCATTTGTCTCAGCCTAAACATGTCTTTTCTGTAGAATGTGCTTAAGCTGTGGTTGTTTGGTATTGTATTGGCATTGTGAAATTCTCTGCAGTGAGCAAAACGGATCATTTTAAAACTTACAGCTGTAGCTGACTTGTAAGGAATATTTCAATTTCCAAACCTAAGTATCTTTTCAGAAACATAAGAAAGTTAAGTGTGTCTTCTAGAGCCTTACTTTTGACACAGATGCTTTCACAGTTCTTTAAACAATAAATAGACAGGGTCTAATATCTGGATCTGTCCCAATAAAACAACCACTAGTACAGCAGTAAACATGTACAGTGTAAGCTATGGTGCTTACCACACTGGAGTCCATTCAAGGTGCGTTTTCTCTTCAAGCTGCTCACAAACCCAGCCACTGCCTGTTCATCTGCTGTCTCGTACGCAGCAGCACCTGCTCTCTTTTCTTGAATGTCTTCCATAAACTCATTAACAACATTTTCATCAGGTGTTTCATAAGCACCACCTGCCTCATCTGTAGGAGCTCGGGCGGGACTGTGGGCTGATGATGCTCTCTTGGGTGGACTCGTACCAATAAATGCATGTTCATATGCATATGAGTATTGAGATTGGTCTAAGCAAAAGGAGAGAGCGTATGAGAGCATAGTCAAGTCAAAAGCCAGTGACAACCTGTTAATGGGCCATAATTGTTAGTTTCACTATACAATGTTTTACAATTGCCTTTCTTCGTTCATACATGTATTTTGTCTTCCGTATTTTTTTCTTCTATATAATGTTTCTTTTTCATGCCTCTGTATCACTCTACTGTAATGTACATGTATGACCTTCTAAATTATACAACTGTATATACCTTGTATACTAATGGAGCGGATTAAGCACAAAAAAACAAGTACATGTACATATACAACATAATATAATGTATGCATGCTGTCTCAAAATGTCATTAGGATCAGTGCACACACAAAATAACAGAAAATTAATGTGATTACAGCTGTTTGTGTAGGCATATTTCCAGCACAATTAAACTGCTGATTTGGAAGGGCTATATGGAGTCATTTAAATCATGAAAATCATTCTGTTATTGAACCAAGAATGATTCAACAATGAGAAACTACATGTACTTAAAAATCGACCACAATTTCCCATGGTCTACACTCTTAGGGACCATGGAAATGATATCATAAAATGTTCAAAACTCAAGTGAAACCACGAGCCGCAGGTGAGTAGTTTCACTGCAAAGTTTTGAACTTTTTATGGCAACATTTCTATGGTCTATAAGAGTGTAGACCATGGAAAATTGTGGTCGATGTGTTTTTTACAATAACAATTTTATTTTTAGTTTCCTGCGAACTTTCTCAGAAAATCTTGTGTGACATGTTACGTTATTTCCACGGTCTATACTCTCATAGACCATAGCTCTCGACCGATCAGCAAGCAAGGATTTGCTAAGTTATTGTAAAAAGTAATATTGACTTTAACTTTGTAATACAAGCAGCATTGTGCCATTACCTTCAGCTAAGGAAACATTTGATATTGCACTCATTGAAACAGACTTGCTGACAGAAAGTTTAACACCACCCCCTTGTGTATGATCATAAGCAGAGACGGGTCTTGGGCGTGGCACAGGTGGTAAAGGTGGACCTTTTAAGACTGTTGCTTTCTCAGTAACAGGGGTAGCCCCTGGGGGTAAGGGTGGTGGTCTCCTGCTAGCTTGCACTCCATTGCTTGAGGAACAATTAACAATAGGATGAAGAGTTTTTCTTTGTGTTGCCAACCGTTTTTTCTGAGTCTCAGTCCCTACAACTGTAAAATGACATGCAAGAATCAGGATAGTTAGAGGAAGAAGCTACGTCTCTGTGTTAGCTTTTTTTCACTGTGTTAGCTTTTTAAAAAGCTAAAACAAGTCTTCTCTCACCAATTGAATTCCAAATATAATGGTCCAGTTTTAGTATGTACAACTAACAATATTTGAATATACTGAAAATGCTTTCTGCCATCTATTGCTACAGATGGCAAGGATTGACATGGATTTAAATAACTGGGCCAAGTTTTACAAGTTTTTATAGGATGCCTGCAAAAATCAGCATAAAAAATTGTTAAAGTAATTTGTGCTCCCTAATGGAATTTAAATGATTATCTTCTTCATATAAACTCTAGAGGAACATTTTGTGTACGGGTACAGGTGCTAAGTACCATTAATGGCCTCGGTACAGCATTGACCCAAAACAGCAATATTCTTTTGACATGCATACGGATGTAGCCCCTTTAATGACTTGGGGGCTATTATTTTGTGTACTAAAGCTTTATTTGATCAATTATTTTTAAAGAGCTTACAACTCTAAAGTATCTTTCCATACTCACTAGATGTCTCTGATGGTGTGTCACTGTCATTATCTTCAAGACTGTCGACTGTTTTAGACCGCGCCCTAGCAACCACTTCTGCTGAAGGAGCACTGGGTCTTCCCAGCAGATGCTTTTGCACTTCATTTCCTGTTGAGGATTTCACAAGGAAACGTCATATAAAAGTACAATACGATCATGTAAAAAAGCACACACTGTTATGAAAGCAATAAAGTCACTAATGAAGTGCTATCAATACAGTACTAACCAATCAAAGTACATGTACATGTATACTCGGCTTGGTTCAACCATCTTACAATAAGTTTAAATGAACATTCAAGGGAGCCTGTGCTAGTGAGAGAGAGAATCAACTGGGTTGATAATGTTTAATTTGCTACTGTAAAGCTATTCTAAAGTTGACTTTTTTTTTTACTTTCTTAGTTTTGTCAAAGCAAAGTAATTTCTCTAACGTTTGTGACCTCTGAGGGCTTGAGCAGTAACCCTTCATCAGGTTGACTGCTTCCAATAAAATGCTAGAGCTCAAAATGTCAGCTGGTGGATCTTTTTATATTGACCGGTTTACTTCACCAACTTAAACACTACCAAAAGTTTCATCTTTACTCACCAGCTTGAGGTTTTACTGGTAAAACTCCAGGCTTAGGAAGAAGTTTAGGTTTAGCAGGTTCTGCTGGTTTCACTGAACCTAAAGCAGGCTTGGAATCGGATTTATCTCCAGGTGAATTTGAAGCTTGACTACGTGATGGCCTAGGTGAAGGATGAGGAGAAGGTCGTGGCGATGAACCATTATCGCGGAAAGGAAATACAGGTATGGTTGATAGTTTTTGTGCTAGAGCAGCAACAGATGATTCACCCTTGGAACATGAACTTAAGTCTGGAGGTGGCTTTTGGGGCACGGAAGGTTTATTTGCTTCAGTTGTTGTAGTTTGTCCTGCAGATGCTAAATCTTTTGGCAGTGACGGAAGAGGTTTCTTCGGAGGTAACGGTTTTGATTTGTTACCAGCAGTACCTGGATGAAGAGTTCTTGGAGATGTGTTAGGGCTCAGATCTTTAACAGCCTCAGGCTGTCTTGTGTCACTTGCTTTACGAAAAGATGGTGGAGTTGTTTCAACTTTTAAGCCACTAATTTTTCGTGTGACAGGAGGGGAGGTCTTGCTTGCTACACCAATTGGTTTACGGGGAGTAGGAGGGGAATATTTACTCCCTTGACTGATAACTTTGCGGGGGACGGGAGGGGAAAACTTGGGCCCTGTCCCACTTATTTTATGAGATGTAGGAGGAGAAGCTTTGCTTGTTGTGGTGATTGCTTTATGAGGCTCTGTACCACTTTCTTTGGAGGAGAAGGAAACGTGATTAGAATTTCCAGCAACTCCACTTGTTTTACGCGGAGATGGTGGGGTAATTTTGCTGGCTCTGAAAAATTAAAACATTGGAATAATGTTACAATAATAATATCATAGGTGACAAATTACTCCTTTATTTTGGTGCAAATTATTAAAAATTATTAGAATTTGGACAAAACAACCCATGAAATTGCATGCATATTCCCTAAATTCACTTGTCACCATCTGATTGCACACACATGTACTACTTATAACTGGTATTATTATTACTGCAAACACTATATCTTCACCATTAGAACAGTTGTACTTTGGTTTTCAGAATGGAAATCAAACAATTTTGCCTAACTGAAGGGTTACTGCCTACTAGTACACATAAGATGGTGCAAACATTCAAGACAATATATATATATGTTACAGGTCAAATTCGATTTCAGATTAATTTTGATTTAACCTAGGTTGACTCTCAATTTCCAATGTCTCATGGCCCTGGAAGACAGAGGAAATTGAGAATCAACCTAGGTTAAAAAAATTTCAACCTGAAATCAAATTTGACCTGTAACATATGTACATACATGTAAAACCTACTTTAAAAAATAAAAAAATTGTGAATGGTAAAACTGAAAGTGTCATGCATCACTAACTGACCGCTAGCTGGATTTTTTCCAATAGTCCCAAGTTCGAGTCCTTGGCCATGCTTGTAAATAGCCAACTGGTTTGCCTCTGGCCAGTTGGGATTCCTAACCCTCTTAAGTTCAATTTGAATTGTTTGTTTCAGGCTTTTGCTTGGTCCTACTAGCATATAGTGCTATAAATACTGCCAAGGGTAAATAATGGAAAAATTAAATTATTATCATTATTGTTGGCATGCCTGCATTAAATAATTCTTGTGTATTTTTCAACTTTGCAGGCATGCCGGCAGTGAAGATAGTTCTTCACATAACCATCATTTCATGTTTTCCACAAATAAACTTATTTACTCACCTTGGAACAGAGATAGCTTCATATCCTTCATCAGAGCTTGAAGACGAACCACTCACTGTTGGTCTCAATGGTTCATACCACTGCTGATCATCCACAGAATCATTAACAGGTCCATTACTAGTATCATTACATTCAGTTACACCTTTTACTGATGATTCAATCTTCGGTACACGAATTTCATTATTTTTTATTGCTTTATTAACTAATCCTTGCTTTGCTAGAGGTTCCTTATCAGCTGACAAATTGTTATTATTTATTAATATAACACCTTTTCCCGCAGTTTCAGGTGTCTTCACATTCGGAGCTTTAGGTGGTGGTCTCCGTGGTTTTGGGTGAACAGCAGGCTTTGGTGGAATATTTTCAGGTTTTCCATTCTCTATAGTAATGTCTGGTTTAGGTTGATGTGACCGTTTTCGAGGTGCAGGACGTGGTTTTGTGGCAGGAAGAAGGGATGCCTTTTCCACAGGCTTCCATGTTCCACCTCTATCTTCTTCCTCCATGCCTGAAAAAAAAAAGAACAAAATATCAAGGACTGATGCTCTTTGCCATTATAGCATCCTTTCTGTTTAATTATCCCAGGACACTTTTTGCTCTTTTAGTAGCAGGCACTTCTGTGACAACTGAACAGTGTTTTTGCAGGCTGTCATTGTTTCTGGAAAACCCTGACCCTACTATAGAAATGAATTTTCCTTCTATAGAGTATTTATAACCTGGGTGAGACAAAAATAACTTAAAATAATCAATTGCCTTAGGGCAAGATACCCCCTCACAGTCGCCAGTCTGAAGGTCTAAGCAAAACATACACAGTTCAAAATGATTCCAAACTTTGCTTGTCATAACAAAATCTTATCCCTTTAAAAGCATGCCAGCAAACTGCCTTTGCTGTGATCCTTATGACTCAAGCTTAAAATTGGATAAAGAGTCTGAATTCATTACAGTCAGTCAGTAACTGATTTCACAGTGACTCCTGATTGCAGTTTTAAAATTCTTATGACCAAGTTTGAAAGCAAAAGGAAAAGAATTATGATGATTTTGAAACATGTTTATCTATTTGTCAAAAAAAATACACACTACATGTAAGACCATCATTATTGAAGATCAATAATAATTTGCCACAAGGACTAAAACTGACATTACCATCTCAAATTATGTGTAGTTACAGTGTACAGTTTTCAGGACTGCAAAGGAATACTCCATTACCAGGTATATATTCGTTAAAAACCTGGTCAAATATCGCCGTCTATTGAATACTGGATTTGATATTCAAGTAAGCACGGTCGTGACTTGTCATGCTTCCGAGAATAGCAGGACTGAATATTGTTCACTTTGACTCCAACAATAAATTACATTCATGTACAAACAATGAAATAAGCGTAATTTACACGTGTTTAAACGTAGAGAAACGTTCATTATATCCTCAGGACGACTTCGCATACAATTTAGTTGAATTTTTTGAATAACTGAAAACTTCATAGGAAATACACTACCATGAGCGAGCACTGATATGGAAAGAGAGTGAAATACATACAACAGTCCACTTGATATTAACTATAGTCACAGATATCTGCTTCACTAGGAAAGAAGGTGTCACTTGAAGATAAATAAAAGAAAAAGCACGGAACATCTGAACGGGAGATCAATTCAAGAATCTGCTAAAGATATCAAATCGACTTTTAAGAGTTTACTTTAGTGCTAAATAGTGCCTAAAACATCGGATGTAATTTCCATGAGAATTTTAATTGTAGACACCCTGTCCCCCCGCTTCCCCCCATTAAGAAAAGAGGAAAAAACTTTTAATTCCTTTCGATTTATTGATTCAATTAGTGATGAATAACATTTAAAACAGATGATAATGTGAAAAATGCACTGATTATAAACACATTCACTAAGCCAAACCATAAACCTAACATTTACAGTTTCAATTCTGTAGACATTGCTTATATTATCAAGTTTTATTTCAGCCGACTGAAAGGCGCCTCACTTTCAGGTCAGTATTATATAGTAACAGGAGTCTATCACTGGTTACTCTTTTCACAGTCTGAGAGAATTTACATGAAAAATTGACCTCCCTCTCCATCAATCAAAATATACTCAGGAGATAAAGTAAAAAATAAGCAGTAAGTACAGTATATTTATACACGTAAACACAGAGTTAACAAAAACTCGTTCGAACGTGCACGTGATAATGGAGTGTCCAAAAATAAACAGGAAACACCCAGAGAACTCTTAAATAGGACATACATAATTATCAACTGAAATTGGAGATCTCTACTCAGGCCTTTGAACAAGGATTATAAAGACATTACAGAAAAAATATATATATAAGTGATGACACTAAACTTTTAAATGTAGTGAATGACATCAGGGAATTTAAGCTAAGTTCAGATTAGTTGATTACTTAAAGAGACAGTTAAACTACACTGTAGTTTATTTAAGTCTGAAGCAATTGAGATTCATAGACTTGATGACAAACAATGAAAAATACATGAGAACTATTTTTACCAAAGACTTTATTTGTGAGAAAAATGATAGTTCATTTACTTAAATATAAGTTTTTCCTGTTAAAGTAAACAATTGACCCTGTTTTAACTTCAACAGGAAGAAGTCACACCTGTTTATTTAAATGTCCTTAAAAAGTCAAGGAAAAAGTTCAATCACTTAGACTCACTACATAATATGCTATTTCTTTCTTCATGATAATTATGAGCAAAGATCCCCATTTTATTGAAAATGAAAATAGCCTTGTAAAATGTTGTAAGCAAGTATCACTGTGGGACACTTCCAGAGTAGCAGCGTTATTAATGAAGACTATAGTGTCATTATTTTTGTCATGATTGCAACATTCAAGTCTGAGGATACTGGGATCTTAAACCGGAGCAAAATCAAGGCTTCTATATCAGTACAGACCATGCATGGTGACTTGGAAGGGAGAAGGAATAGGGTGTATTCTACTCAAGGGGCTAGGTTTTGGCACCCATCACCATAGCAATCCTATATCAATGATACAGCTATTTCAATTAATGTTGTCAGAAAGGCCACACTGTTATGTTTCATGGTGTTCTAATAATGTCTTCTCTTTCAGTTTATATTTAGTTTTAAAGTCTGTTCAACTCTCATTGATTCCTTCTTTAGTCATTCTTTAAAACAAATCCTTACTATGAACAAAAAACACAGCTTCAAACTGTGAAGATGCCTACAAAAAATCAATTCTCAAATTTATCACCATAAGAGAGAAAACGTAATGGACAGCTAAAGCAGCCACAAAAAAGGACAGCAACTAGACCACATCAAGAAACCAATAAAATTTATAAACAAAATTAATAAGAGCTCTTATACTTATCAGGAGCGTAGCACCCATATACACACATACGACTGTGCGTACGGCTGAAATCTAGAAAAAAAAATTTTTCCTTAAGGCATTTACCACTAACACGCTCCCTCAAAGGGTTTTTTTTTTGGTACAAACCTGCAGGCTGGTGGACATCAATCAACTGTTACCATGGTTTTCATGCGTTGGCCAAGAGAGCGGATTCTTTCCCCGTTTCTCGACCACTTGGAGGAACATGTCAGCATTCAAGCTGTTTTTGCAAAATTTTGATGGTATTTTTTTAACTGTTAAATACCCTTTTTTCCATAAGCACTGTACTTTTAGAACCGATAATTCTAGAGATTAATAAAATAAACAATGACTGCATTTTCCTTTGTATTTGTGAACTGAAAATGTCCTGCAGAGAGAAGAAGGTAATGGCATTTCTAAGCCCCCAAATTTGAAAATTTCCTGGGGGAGCTTTCCCCCGGACCACCCTAGCTTAGTAAGTTTGGAGTGCCTTTTGAGGTCTGACTTTTCATCCCATGAGTACGCCTTTAAAATTTCACGTTACACCCCTGCTTATAACATGTCCAGGGTTACTGTTAACATGTTAATATACACAAAGAGGGTGCTTCTTGTTGCCCTCTAATCCACAATGGACATTATGGACATTATTTTGCACAGCCAGTGCCATCATGGTTGCTCAAGCCCCCTGATGCAGAATTGACTGGCAAATTCAAAAGAAATAATTAAGGTGTCTCTATTTATTGAACTAAACGTCTATGAAAATATTTTTATGTTCCTTAACATCTTGAGATATATATTGTTTCCTACAAGTCTCTCACACACAAAAAATTGATTGTCAGATTGATCGTCAAGGTAGTTGCACCGTCTATTAAACCGAAATCTGAGCTGATTTGACTGAAAGCAATTATTTAATCAGCATTGGGCCAGCGAGCTTCTCAGCTTCACCATCATCACCTCGTACAGCACGTACAAGTTCAATACCAAACTCAAAAGCAGTACCAGGTCCTCTGCTAGTTACCAGGTTTCCATCTCGAACAACTCGGTCTTCAGAGTAGGTGTAACCTTAAAGACAAAAACGATCAAATTTTACACCACCAAACTTGTAACAGCAGTTCTTCATTTGCATGAGGAACACAGAAAAGTTACCATATACATTTAAAATATACAGAGTTTAGTATGATAATGTTTATTCTATCTTCAAGTTTCCAGATAATTGAGAACATCATCAATTTCTTTAAGGATAGGAAAAAGAACTGTTAGACATCACACAGAGATTTCTAATATTGTAGGATTTAAACTTTAGTTGACCTTATGTATGAAACTCATGTTTAGTTGGTTTAGCTTCCATTTTTAATAATAAAAAATGCTTGGTTGGTTTAACTTCTATTTTTAATAATTAAAAATAGAATTAAGCCAACCGAACATGAGTCTCATAAAAATTAGTCCCTTGTAAAAATTTATTAGCGATCGCGCCGCGATGACCGCGATCGCGGAGCGATGGCAGCGGTCGCGGCGCGATTGTGCATATCGCGGCGCGATTTAGATTAATCGCGCCCGCGATGGCGACGTGGTGATCGCGATCGCGGCGAGGTTATAGCGATCGCGGCGCGGTGATCGCGATCGCGACGCGATGATCGCGATCGCGACGCGGTGATCGCGATCGCGACGCGGTGATCGCGATCGCGGCGCGATGATTTTGATCGCGGCGCGATATCAGCGATCGCGATGCAATTGAAGTAAATCGCGCTTGCAATAGCGACGCGATGATCGCGATCGCGGCGTAGTGATCGCGATCGCGGCGCGGTGATCGCGATCGCGACGCGGTGATCGCGATCGCGACGCGGTGATCGCGATCGCGACGCGGTGATCGCGATCGCGGCGCGATGATTTTGATCGCGGCGCGATATCAGCGATCGCGATGCAATTGAAGTAAATCGCGCTTGCAATAGCGACGCGATGATCGCGATCGCGGCGTAGTGATCGCGATCGCGGCGTGGTGATCGCGATCGCGGCGAAGTTATAGCGATCTCAACGCGATGATCGTGATTGCGGGAAGATGATCGCGATCGCGGCGCAATTTTGAAAAATCGTATCTGCGATCCCAAGGTCAGGATTGCGATACTGGCGATGAAATCGCGATCGCGGCGAAGTTATAACGATCTCAGAAGGATGATCGTGATCGCAGGAAGAAGATTACGATCGCGGCGCGATTCAGAAAAATATTATCCGCGATCTCAGAGTCAGGATTGCAATCCTGGCGATGAAATCGCGATCGCAGCGGTATTGTACTTATCGCGGCGTGGTGAACGCGATCGCGGGGAAGATAGAGCGATCGCGGCGAAGTTATAGCGATCTCAACGTGATGATCGTGATCGCGGGAAGATGATCGCGATCGCGGCGCAATTTTGAAAAATCGTATCTGCGATCCCAAGTTTAGGATTGCGATGCTGACGATGAAATCGCGATCGCGGCGGAGTTATAACGATCTCAGCCCGATGATCGTGATCGCAGGAAGAAGATTACGATCGCGGCGCGATTCAGAAAAATATTATCCGCGATCTCAGGGTCAGGATGGTGAAGATAGAGCGATCGTGGCGAAGTTATAGCGATCTCAGCGGAATGATCGTGATCGCAGGAAGATGATTGCGATCGCGAAGACAGACAGTTTTTATTTTAGCTCGATGATATTAAACGCTTATAAGCAGCTGATGGGGTCGTGCGATTTTGAAAAATAGTATCCGCGATGGCAGCGACATTGTACTTATCGCGGCGTGATGATCACGATCGCGGCTTGATTTAGTAAAGTCAAATCCGTGATTTATATGTCAGGACTACGATCCCGGTTTGGTAATCTTGATCGCAGGGGCATTTTACTTACTGCGAAGCGGTGATTGCGATCGCGGTGCGATTTAGTTAAGTTGTAATCGGCGATCGTCGAGTGCCATATTGCTCTCGATCGTGGTGCAGTAATCGCGATCGCCAGGTGGTGATCACGATCAATTCTAATTAAGTTCGCGTCCGCAATCTCAGTGCCATTATCGCGAAGGAGATAACCGAGGATCACAGTTATCGTCGCGATTTCTGTTATAAGTTAGTCGTATGGTTATTATTCTGTTTGAGCTCTCACGTCTTTTACGCCCCTTTTAGTCTGGTTACTAGCTCGTCTTGTTATTCCTTATCGTTCGTGACTCGTTAGTTGTTTTTTTTTATAACTGGCTATATTTAATTTGGTGTTATCAGGGACCGCCTTTCCCGTTTGTTATGGGCCGTAATTCGCACTGCGTTTGCCTTTGCACCCTTTTTTCCCACACGTTAGTTGATTCACACAGTGCATTGACTCTAAGGTTTCATAATGAAAGCACTTAATATTTTCGTTATTGCTTTGGAAAACTAATCGAGGCTAGTATGCATCCTTTGGCTTACTAACAGGCTTTCCAACTTTCCAGATGGCTTTCAAACTGCCGGATATTTAGCCTGTGCGAAAACGTACTCGTGAGTCTCGAATGTTTCTAAGTGTCGAAACGGCGTCGACTCTCAGGCTCTATGCCCAAGAAACCACAGCCGCTCTACTGCTAAGCCATTCCTGATTTCCTGATCCCTTGGTAATTCTAAACGAAGATATAACACTTTCAAACGATTATATTTAGAAAAAAAGATTTTGAAGAAAATCAAAAAAACATTCTGACTGCCGTGCAGCTTAGACCCTTCCCGGCTGCCGGGGGGGCATATTATTTTATTTTTATATTCCATTATGTTGTTCTTCAAAACTTGCGATTGTGAAAATTATTAGGGCAGGCAAAATAGTAATAATATTATAATAAAACACTGGAAAGTTAAGTAACTAAAAGACTACAGAAATATATCAATATCGGGAGGTCGAACATTCGGAAAAACTATAAGCTTATAATAACAGTCATTTTCAGTTTGTTAGAACTTTATCGGTTTCTAGAGAAGGCACGGTTTTCCTTGTGTTTTAGACCAGAGTTACATTAGCAAAAAGCTAGGAAACCTTTTCTCGCTCACCTCTAATTGAGTCATTTTAAGCCCAAGGATGAATTTCTGTTACGCTCCAGGCCTTAAGCTGCTGTATATAAGGATGTAATCAACATGATTTTTACTTAATGGTCCTTAATAACAGAAATGAATCCTGCATGTACGTGACGGTTTAATCCAGAGTATTGGGGTGCGATCCATTCAACCAAAATTCCAATCGGTCCGACCGGGAAAATTGGTCCACCTTTTTTCGAAACTTTTCCGGTTGGACCGAACCGATCCAGAGTTTTGGACCGAAATATTCCGGAAATTTTGGTTGAATGGATCGCGCCCTTGAGGACTGGATTCCAAAATGCGATTTCCCGCCACTGCGACGCGGGTGGCCAAGATTCAAGGCTGACGCGTACCTTGAAAAAAAAACATTGCTCTCAATTTCACTTGTCATGCAATTGGCAATGGCCTTTTATTGCTGTTTAAACATTGGAAAATTTTTCTTAATGATTCTTTTGACATGTTGAAAGTTCAAACAAAGAAACGTACTTAAAAAGGTAAGTCTACTCACTTCTTATTATCACTAAGTTTAATTTTAAACCTAATTAAGTTTAAGCTTGATATTCATTCGGTGTTGTCGATTTTATACTTTCCGGCACTTTTCATAGTTTATAACACAATTAATGTTAGCCTTTTTATTAGGCTTCTCAAACAAACAAAAGCTAAAAAAATTCGAGCTACCTTTTAATAGTTCGAGAAAGCAAAACTTCTGATTTTGGAGCCTTCGTTTTTTAGCTCATTTTTTTATATCCTTCGAGGGGTGTAAGTCTTAAGCTACTTGAGCTGGACAACTCAGTGATTTGTCTTGATTTGAATATTTCAATACTCTGATTTCGGGAATAACTCTCTTGGTTAACTGGTTTTAATTTCTCAACAGGAAAACCGCTCTGGACGTACTGTGGGGCATAAACATGGCAACATACCAAGAGCCATGATGGCCTCTTGAATATTCTGCAGCAACAATTAATCTGGCAAAGACAACAGTTGTGAGTACTCAGTTTGTACATTATGTAAATTTCAAAGGTAACGTTTAGGCTGAAGACAAAACATGTGGGACGTCACATTAAATTGGCTTAATAAAGAAGTATGGAGAACCTCAGTGAGAATATTTAAGCACGGTAAATGAACATGAAACATATCATTAGCGTGAGGAAAAAAGAAAAAATATTTTTATCCCTAATAGGATGAACCTATCTGAAGACATGGACAAGTGGATCAAAAGAAAAGAAATCAATGCATATAGGCGGTTTCATTATCTCAATACTTCAGGATATAAAACGTTTTACTCTGCTCACACTTAGCTAAAAATAAAAAACACGATTCACTGAACTCTCACATAAGACCTTTCTTTTGAAAATTCATTCCCTATTTAGACCCGTTTAAGTTGAAAATTTAGCTTTATCTTGACATGATTTATACTACCCTGCTTGCAGACTGAGTAGCTTCGATCTTTCCTAGATAAGTTCGGATATTTAAAGTTCGGATAAGTTCCGGCCCGTTTTAATTTGTGATGTACGTAATTTTCGGGAAGAAAATAAGGTTAAACTACAAACGAAACTTTCCGATTTTTTATTGATCTGTTTGCCTTCTGAAGCTCGATTGTCGTAGGTGAATTTTGTTCTGTTATTTTTGCTTTTTTTATGGCGCCTTAAATTACTTGGATGCATTTTTAGTTCAGGTATGCAATTAAGTGTTAAGAAAGCTAATTTTTGGTGTACACGGTGTACAAGAAATGTTCTTTCGACTTGCAAAAAAAAAAAAAAAAATTCGGTCGACTGGTTGAATTTTAAAACCAAAGTTTAGATAATATTCCAAAATAAATTTTGCGTACTATGTCCTTGGTCCGGCCAAACTAGCCAAATAGTGATTGAAAAGGGAAAGCCTGTTTGAAAATTTCCCAGTAACACTGCACTTTATTTATTAAGCAGTGATATAGAAGGCCATAAAATGAAACTTATATTTCATTTGGGAGCTGTAGCATTTAGCAAAGTCAAAAAACTTGGCAAGCAATGAGCCTAACAAGGAAAACATTACTCTGCACGTCCTGCACGTGCATTATGACGCACGCTTTTCGGTCGCGGCATGACTTAGACAACATTTTGGTGATGGGAGGTGTTTCTTGAGGACGTAAACAAGCGACGACAAATATTTTTTCCCTCTAAACTTTGACTGAATTCATTTAAAATGGTGGCAAATTGACCTTTTCACGGTTTAGTTTCTTCGAGAGACCTAACGTTAGCTCTTTACACAGAAATCTCAGTTTGGTTTCGAATTTTAAGTGAGCAGCCTATAAAAATTATACAGGAATTTAGATCAGATGGTGCTTGGAAGGTTTCTTTTTACGCACTTTTGATGTCGGCTTCCAATTTAAGTAGCCAAAGTGGCCGGAACCACTGGCCGGACCAGGGGCTTTCAAACGGAGCGGTCGTTTTCTATGATGCACGATTTTCGGCAAAGCTCAGAAGCTCTCCGTTTGTCACAAGTTAGTAAAATGTTACTGCAACTTTCGGGACAAATTTCAGCTCACTGCTCTTCTTCTGAGATAAGAAATACTCATTTATGTCTTTTTCGTCCGGACCGTGATCGCAACGAGAAATTCGGCCGAAAACCATCTGCGATCAATGACAGCGATTGCGGCGCGATCGCTCCAATCACGCCGCGAACTTCGGCCAAAAACGCTAAGCGATCGACAACAGCGATCGCTGAGCGATCACTGCCATCTCGCCGCGAAATTCGGCCAAAAACGCTAAGCGATTAATGACAGCGATCGCGGCGCGATCGCTCTCATCGCGCCGCGAAATCCGGCCAAAAACGCCAAGCGATATGATGACAGCGATCGGTCTCATCGCGCCGCGAAATCCGGCCAAAAACGCTAAGCGATTGATGACAGCGATCGCTCAGCGATCGCTCTCATCGCGCCGCGACATCCGGCCAAAAACGCTAAGCGATCGACGACAGCGATCGCTGAGCGATCGCTCTCATCGCGCCGCGAAATCCGGCCAAAAACGCTAAGCGATTGATGACAGCGATCGCGCCGCGATCGCTCCCATCGCTCCGCGAATAACGCAGCGATCGCGCCGCGAAATCCGGCCAAAAACGCTACGCGATTTTGACAGCGATCGCGGCGCGATCGCTAATAAATTTTTACAAGGGGTAAATAATAATAGGTCAACTAAATAAAACACTTTAGGGGCAATTTTATGGTTACAGGACACACAGTGCTGCCTGGTGAGTCAAGCAATAATTTCAGTGAAGACTTGGCAAAAAAAATTCAACCCAATTGCTAAAATTAACTTCCTTAAAATGGTATAAGCAGCTCACGGTATAGTTTTAACTTTTTACAAAAATATGCAGGCTACACAAATATTTGTTTATTTTCCAATTTAGAATGAAAAATGTATGCAGTCATGTGAAAACATACCATCCAGTTTATCTTTGACAGAAGGATGTGATGTGACAGTCTTTCCTTTAGCAATTCCATGAGTATGAAGAGCAGTTGGGGCTGCAGTATGAAACAAAGGTTTAGGTTAAAGTCTGCATACAAACCAAATTGCTCATCAGCCCAGAGCTTATTCCATTTTCCATGGCAAAACTAATTAGCAGCTGGGAATATTTCTACCACCCTCCCCCCTCTGAATAGGATGTTAGTCCATCACACCAAGTCGCTGGTACCTAGTTATACACTTGGGTGAAGAGATACAGGGGCAGATCCAGGATTTTTTTTAGGACGGGGTGCACTCGTCTCTTGCTCTACTTCAACACCAATAAACCACATAGTTTTTTTTTTGCAGAATACCAGTTGTATTAGAAAACTGCAGTTCATCTCAGGGGGGCGGGGGGTGCGCACCCCCTGCACCCTCCCCCTGAGATATAAAGTGGAGCAAAGTTTTTTGTCTAAGGAAAAAATATGACAACAAGGCTTGAACTAGGACCTACATTTTCTTCAGTTTCAGACCTCGAGGTGTTCCATAGTCTCCCTCGTAGCCGTTTTTTGGATGTCACGCAACGCTCCAAAAAAACGGCTGCAAGGGAGACTAGGTGTTCCACAAAACAATGAAAACAAAAGTTACTGCGTTATATTCTGTACTGTTAAGATATGAAAAGCAAAATAGTAGACTCAGTCTTACAGGGCTGTCAACCCCCGACATTATTGAGAAATGACAGGGAAGGGATAATAGATGATGTCACAATGTACGAAATATGATGTCATTTGTGCAAAAAAACATGCAAAATAGATGTTGTTGGAATTGTAACATTAAGTACCTGATTGGTTTACTTCCCACCAATCACATTATTGAAAATGGCATACTAAGGTTTCTGAGGAAACGTTTAATGTTAAAAGTTAAATAGCTCAAACAATGCAAAATATTTTAAATTTCATTGACAGAAAGTCAAATCTACAAGAAACAGCAAACTTTGGAAATTATCTGGGAGATTTCAGACTCTAATCTGGAGACCAGGAGAAACGGTTCAAAATCGGGGGTCTCCCAGATTATCCGGGAGAGTTGATGGCACTGGTCTTATGTCGACTTAAGACATACATGTAACATAAACTGCACTTATAAGCCAGCTGGGCTTTTACATCTTAGGAGGGCTTATAAAAGGACGAGCTCATAACCCAGTGTTCTCCCTAAATTTTAGCTAAGCAAGTAAAAAAACATTCTTGACCAGTAAGACCAAAAATATGGCAGAGGGGGAGAGACTTTTCATTCATTAAGGCTTTTATTCTTGAGCATCCTGTCAACCAATTGACTGAAAAGTACTTTTAACACCTCAAAACAAAGAATTTTACGAATGAAGCCTGCATTTACCGCTAGGGTAAATTTAGTAACACAAGTCGTGGGAGACGTGAACTTTTCCTGCTGGTCAAGAAATTCTAGAATTGGGACAGAAACCCATGAAAAAATTGTTAGCCTGCAGTGCTTTAAAAGGTACCAGTTAGCATTTAAATACTGGTAATCAGAGAGAATAGCTGTGCATCCTTTTTGTTTTTCCGCATTTACTTCCTTTTCTTGTGAGGATTGGCTTGGATCACAACTTGCATGTGTTTTGAAACAACTTATTTAATATGTTTAGTAACAGTTAAAGCAGTTGCAGGCTGTAAGAAGTGTTGCTTCAAGGAGTAAATTTTACCAGTTACCACCTGATAAGGAGAACACTCATAACCGGAATAGAAAAAGCACTCAGCTAAGGCAACAAGCTTTAGCTATAGTAGTGCTGATCAAAATACCTTTTGCATTTATGGATTATTAATTAGGCTTCAATTATTATATTTAGAGGTGGGCTTGTCCACTAGCCACCTGCAACAGTGTTATAGGGTAAGAGCGATTTTCGTTTGAAATTGAAATGAAAACACTTGAACAAATGTGCCTGGCTTTTGGTTGGTTAGCAAACACACGGGTGAAAAAACTTCATGCCCGAAGAACTTTCTTTAAATCAATTGATACTTCACTTTGACGTCTTAATACCTGTATTGCAACACGAATGTCCAATCGAACAATGCCTTCTCCACAGTAGGGTTTTCTTTGTCGGATAAGGCAAATAACAAGCACTTACCAAAATCATTTTTCAAGGTCATACGAAAATCGCTCTACCTCGTAAGATTGTTCCAGTTCTGAATAGTTCCAGCTGCAATCTTATCATTCCTAAACTCAGAGAGGTTGTAGGCTTCTAACTCCATAATACAGTTAGACTAATGGTGCCTCATAAAATTTAAGGATACATCTAAAACTGTTAAGCTGAGCCTGACAGCAAAGTATTAAAGGGATTCCAAGGGGCCTGTAAAAATATTTTCTGATCACTTGCACAATACAATATTTTTATAATAAATTGCTGCTATCTGGCTCATATCAGATTCAAGTCATCTTAAATTCAGAGAGTGAAAAACCCTGGCAAAATTCTAATTCTAAGAATTTGTTGACTTGATTACAATTTCCTGAATGTTACTAATAAATTTATGACAGATTATTCTCTAGATGTTTCAAGTACATTAAAAAGAAGAAGAACAAAAAAGGGCCACTTTTCCAGAGTTTACACCTAGGCCTTTTATCACAGTAAATTCTCTTTACCAGCACAAATTGCTCCAATTATTCTTCCACTTTGCTCTTGTTCCTGGAGAATCTCTTTAACTTTGGCAGACTAAAATTAATCAACCAGAATTAAAGTAAGCCTTTAACTCTCATCAGCTCTCAAAATTTTCATTTAAAATTAGAATTTAAATACCTTAGCAAGGTTGTTAGATCCTCCTAATCCACCAGGCAAAATAACAGCATCATATGGACCCTAAAAATAAAAGTAAAACTTTATTCTATCACACAAGCATTCCCTCTTCCCTTGCTGTGTTCTCCCTTTCAAGCATTGCTCATCTTGTGCTCCATGTTTCTTATGAGGTGTCACATGTCAAAGAAAACTGATTTTCAATTTCAATTTGAATTTCCAAAAGTTTTGGTCTTGATAAAGAGAACGGTCAAAAATTAAAAAAATAGTTATAGAATGGCACCTATAATGTGTTAACCCATTTGCTCCCGGGAATTTTGCCAAAAAAGACGTTTGGAAGCTGGTTGAGCAGTTTTCTTAAGTCATTGTCTGACTATAAAGAGCTACGTAAAACTTACCACAAAGCTGTTTACAGGTCATACACTTCCCAGCCTTCTGTAATCTTTTACAAGGCAATTTGTATTTCTTACGCTGGTAGAGAGCATGCTTGATAATGAACAGTCTCTCTTTTTTATTAGGCCATCCAGCGAAACACACGAGGCACGAAAACAGACATTAATATGTTTATGTCATCTCAAGAAAACATTTACGTATAACTTCAAATTTGAACTATTCAGTGAAACAAAACTATGTAAACATTTTCGAATTTCAAAACGAATCTTCTTACAGGCAAAGTTTATCAATAAATCTCTTCTGATTCCGGTCCTAAAGTTGAATTTCTGATACCGTAATTAAGTTTCAATGATGCACCCGTCTAGTCTAAGTCAGTTTCATCTTGAAAGCAACATTAAACTAGGTGAAGATATTCAAATTTCAAAACGATCTACTAAAAACTAACTTACAAACAAAGTTTAGCGTTAAATGTTCGGCCTCGGGTCCTAAAGTCACCACAAAGTCGATGTTTGTAATTAATTTTAACTTTGAATGAATTACACTTGCAGTAAAACAAATTTCAGAAATTCCAAAAAACTTATTTGGGTTATAAAAGAACAAAATATCCAAACATTCATTTTGCGTCCCATATTTGCATCCATTTGTGTTCAGAAATGAACATCGGTGAAACATGATCTATTTCATTGCCTAGCACGTGATCGAAAGTCTCCTCGACAAAGAAGAAACAGATCGTTAATATTTTCGGGCAAAAGTTGATTTGGCGAGAAGTCTGTTCGACAAACAGCTTGCCTTCAATGGTATTTTATTGGAAGTCAATAATAAAATACAGCAAAGCTCTCATTTGGGTCGTCACGCAACGCTTTGTCGCGATGAGCTCCCGCTGAATGTCAACAGAAATTTGCGTAAAGTTGTTTACACGAAGCTTGAGAAATATAGCGCCGAGATAGACGACGTTTGTTCTCGATTGACCTAAGTTTTTATCAGACTAATCTGTAATTGAGTCAGCTGCACTCTAGATACATAATGGACATTACTAACCGATGCGCTAAAATTTATTCCCGGCGAAGCAAAGGACCTGTTGAGAATTGCGATTGATTTGCCTGAAGGACAATATTTATTTAAAGACTTCGTCGAAGTGAAACGTTGGACAGACCAACCGTTACATCTTTAAGTTTTTTCTTGAAAGGGCATCTATTTCTGATTTTTGTTGCGATACAAATCAAAATAATCCACATATACTTGAGTATGACTCGTACGATCGTTCGCGTCTTTTACAACCCTGTGGAAAATTCTTCTCGTGGGCACACCCCATATCCCTTGGAAATTTCTACCCTTTAGCCCCCCACCCCTTAGGAATTTCCATTGACCATCTGTGGGGGGGGGGGGGTATGGATATTTTCTGGAATCACACATTACAAGTCATGTAAATGGGAGTTCCATCACTGGAAGGATACATTAAAGTAGTGTCCTCAATTACAGGCTCTTTGCATTACTTGATCACGTGATCAACTTTCGGTAAAAATGAAGGCAGTTCATGTTTGGAAAATTTTGTTAGCACAAGCGGAAAGACCACATTAGAATTAGGTAACCTGAGAATTTTCAGCTGTATATCTCCAAAGTAGCGATTACAATGGCCGCTGAAAGTTGGAAGCATTTGCATGAGAAAAACAACTTTTGCCAACCAGTCACCCTTGCATGGTTTTCCATACAAATCCTTATAATGTCAAAATTTTCAAGACTGTCATGAAATATTTCCTTACAGGGCTCAAATCTCCTTTTAATTCTTAGCAGGCAAGCCCTATAAATGCATAAGGGAAAGATTTAACGACAGTTTAAAAATTTTAGAATTTACAAGGATTTGTAGGAAAAACCAAGCAAGCGTGACTTGGTGGCA